GGTCTAGGCCCGAAACGTCAGCCTTTCTGCTCCTATGATGCTGCTTGACCTGCTGTGTTCATCCAGCTCTGCACCTTGTTGTCTCAGCTAACAGGTAAGGTGGTTTTGGATGGATAAGCAGCAGGAAACTTGTTGGTGCTGTGCTGTTAAGAAATTAAAAGCAGCAGTGTCTTTGTATGCACACTTGAACATACAAGGCTTGGATATGTGGATATGATCCTAAGGGGATAAAGTAAACACTCCATACTAAGCAAGCAAAAATCAAAATCTACTTGTGGATTTCCTAATAGCTTGGATTGGATACTCAAATATGATGCTTGGTCAAGTATACTCATTTGACCAAGAAACACGCAATTACAGCAGAAAGGAATTGTACTTGTAGGTGGACATTCAGCATAAATGTTATATTAAATAGTCATTTGGGAATACAAAACTTGAGTATTGCTTGAAAAACTGTCAAAACTTTTTGTCTTGTACCCATACATAAGAATTCCAATATAAAAGAGGAAACAACATTTTATACTCTACGAGAAGTGTATATGGATTTGTTGGCAAGTGGACTCTGATTGGTAGAGGCATTGCCATGGAGAATGCACCAGTGAGGTGGCAACTGACAGTTAATTGCCAGGCTTTATTTAAATTTAAGCCAGGCAAGGTCGACGATGATTGGTCTAGGCATTGCCTGGAGGAATGAATCATATAATGGTTGCCACTTATTTTACAAGTTGAAATAAGCAGTGTGTGTGTGCAGGTTTGTTCTGTCTGCAAAGAACAGGGCTCTGTATTAATAAGTGTAGTTTCCAGTATGTGCAAGTACACCACACCACAAGTCTGACTGATGATCTTTAATTGGGTGCCAATGTAATTCTTAGCACACTAAATTTAGCAGACATTATCAAATTACAATCATTGATAAGAAACTCAACTGGACTCACCACATAAACACAGTGGCTACAAGAGCAGGTCAGAGGTTAGGAATACTGCAGCAAGTAACTCCCCAAATCCTGTGCACTATCTACAAGGCACATGTCAGGAATGCGATGGAATACTCCCCACTTGCCTGGATGGGTGCAGCTCCAACAATACAAGCAGCTCAACACCATCCAGGACAAAACAGCCTGCTTGATCAGCACCACATCCACAAACATCCACTCCCTCCACCAATGCTCAATAGCAGCAGTGTGTACTACTATTTACAATATGCACTGCAGAAATTCAAAGATCCTGAGACAGGAACCTTCCAAACCCACAACCACTTCTATCTAGGACAAGGACAGCAGATACATTGGAACACCACACCCTCCAAACCACCCACCATTCTGACTCGGAAATATACCACTGTTCCTTCACTGTAACTGGGTCAATATCCTGGAATTCCCTCCCTAAGGGTATTGTGGACTGCAGTAGTTCAAGGCGGTAGCTCACCACCATCTTCTCAAGGGAGCAACGAGGATGGGCAACAAATGCTGGCCAGCCAGCAATGCCCACATCCCACAAGTGAATAAAAACATTACAGAAATCATATCAAACGTTAGACATTGAGTGGAACTTTTCAAGCAAGGACTGGCTGCGTACAGCCAATACCTTGACTGTTTGAAGCAGCCAAAGAGACATGTTGATTTATACAATCTACCAGTTTTTGGGACATACAACCTTCTTACCTAGCATCACATTGGCACTGAAAATTTATGTACTGTGTTACTGTGATAGACAGATGTCTTTTTGGCTTGAAAGTAGTTAGCGGCAAACACCACACCACTTGTGTTGCTACTGCATAGTAGCAGCATGAAACAGCTACCTTCACCTATTATTCAAGTTTTTGAGATAGCTTACTCTTCTAGGGTAATGAGTTGTAGCAGGCACTTTTCAGACTTATTCTGGAAAGTAGCTACACAAATGTTTACCATTAACAAGATGCCAGCATCAAGCCAAAAAGACATTCTGCCTATGACACAAAGTTTGAACAACATGTTGCTAGTATGCAGCAGCAACACGAGTGATGCTGCTCTCAAGCAAAAAAGATAGTAACATGGGATGTAAATTTCAGCACCAGTATGATGTGAGGTAAGCAGGAAGTACATCCCAAAAACTGGCAGAACATGTCAAACAACATGGCGCTGTGGCTGCTTGCAACAGTTCAAATACTTACTCTACTCAGCCAGGCTCTGCTTGAGAAGCTCAAAACAATGTTCAACATTAGATGTACAATTGGACAAAATATGCTAAATAATTTTTACTATGTTAAGAATTACTCAGACAATGAATTTAAGACAGTCAGTCTTGCAGTGTGGTGCATTTGGACACACTGGAAACTACGTATGCGAGTATGCGGGGCTCGGTTCTTTGCAGACAGGAAGGACACGTACATACATAGTCTGCTTCAAGTTCCAAAACGGGCAACAGCCACATTCTCATGTTCACTCCTTCAGGTACTGTCGACCATAGGGTAATACCCGAAACACTGACTGCTCCTTTCCTCCAGATGCTACCTGGCCTGCTATGCTCTTCCAGCCTCCTGTTTGTTGACCATAGTCAACTTGCCTGGTTTAAACTTAAACAAAGTTTGGCGGTCACAGTCGGTCATCTAATTAGTGATTTTTCCATTGCAGCATCTCCTCAATCACAACCCACTTGCCAACCGATCAGCACTCTCTTTTCATTTAGTTTATGTTCTTAAAAATGCTGTTACCCATTACACTGGTATTCTTGCAAATGTCCTGCTGAGTGCAATTCAAAGAGCTTTGACAAAGCAGGTCTTTTTTCAGCAATACTCACCATTATGGTACTTAATACACTTATCGTACACAAAATTCACTTGTTTAAAACTTGAAAAAGCATGCGAAGAATTTTCTTGGAGCTGCTCTTGTTCTGTTGTCTTAACAACCAAAAACAAAAACATCCTTGTGTAAATGGGGTCCACACCACATTCAGGGGAAAGCTTCAGCCCATAACACATCAAAAAATGGTTTTATCTGTATAAAATGCAGTTATTTTTAGCTTTGCTCCATTCAACCTCAGTTGCTATTTTGAAATTTTGCAGCTAAATTATTATGCTACACTGTGTATTGTAGGGTTCAATCAATTCTCACGATGCTCCTCTCTCATACATGTTAACAAATTCTACATGAATTGATGCTTTCCATCTTCCAACACCAAAGTCAAACTACAAAGTTTAGGACAGTTGTGGAAGAATTATCCATGTTCAGGGAAACGGTCCTGCAGGCATTTTTGAACATGGACTTCATCTTTATTTTTTTTCCCCCCAAAAGGGCATAGTGTGTTTATATGATTATAATGAACATGTTATTTGGTAGCTGTATATAGCCAGAGTAAGGAAGGAAATGACCAGCACAAGTAGCTCAAAAATTGCAAAACATAGCTTGCTTGTTTGTAGCGGTGTTTACTGGTTCCAGATTATTTAGCTTGAACCGAAAAGAAATAATTTAACTGGATGGTACTACTCATAATCCTAGTTCGTGATCAATGGTGTTAAATTTCACTACCACAAGATATTAATTTAGCCTGGTTAACTTGAACACAATCCAGAATGATCAAAAAGAAAAATCCAAACATAATACATTTATACTGAAAGCTACGGGAAAAACTTGTTTATAACGGCTGATAAATTTTGTAATATTTACAAATGCAGTAAAGTAAGTTCCAGAATCAAGACAAGAAATTGATCTACAACAAATGAAACTCCTTCTCTCATGGTATTGTGGGTCTATTTACACCAAATAGACTGCAGCAGTTCAAGAAGGCAGCTCACCACTATCTTCTCAAAAGCAACTAGCAATGGGCAATAAATGCTTGCTCAAATGATGCCCACATCCCATGAATGAATTAGACAAAAAAAAAACCATAAGCTCCAGGTGCTTTAACTCAACCTACTGACAATCTCCAATCTTGTTGCTTACTAACATGATGCTCAAGATGACAAACACATTTTTCCACAGTGAAGACAAAATGCTTCACATAGTACTTTATGGATGTATAGGAGGACTCTGCAGAAAATTAAAACTGATGTGCTAATACAATAAAGGCTCAGTTCCTCTCTGGCCTCAAATGGAAACAAACAAATTCAGCCTTCCATTTGTTATCTACGTGACCCCTCCTATTCAGTAATTTGCGTGGACATTAGGCGAGGACAACTTCAGGGTCAACTGCAAAGTTCCTCAAAGCCAAAACAGACATGTGCTGAGGTCAAATACACTGAATAGCCACTGGAGCAAGATATTAAGAAATATCCCTGTATCAGTGGAGCCATTTTGCAGTGCGAATCTGCACTTTCGGGGAGAGTGAGCAAAGCATTTCTATACCACAGTTAAACAGAGTGCCTAACAAACTTTCAAACTTAACATTTACACTGTTGGCACAAGGAACACATATGAAAATGTATGTAATTCCCAATGGAATGAAATCTTCACTGCGAGAACAGCGTGGCAGTCATTTTTTTTTCCCCCTACAAAGGGCATAGCTTCAGAAAGTGTTGAAAACTTACATGAGTTTGCCGAAGTTCCTGGAATAATTGATTTTCCTGCATCAAGAGACAGTTCATAATATTCACCAGTTCTAATGGCTGCTGATCAAATGTTTTCTGTAACACAAAATATTAATTCAAGTATTATTTTCATGGCTTTTATCAAGCTGATACAGTCTATCGTAGAAAAAGCAGGCCATGAGCATCTTCAACAAACAGGCATGTCAACATTTCTGGTTCAGAGTGAAGTAACTGCTACATACTTTCAATGTACTTCACACTGCTCACACAGTACCACTTACTAGATATCAGCCAGTTTTCCTTGCCATTGCTTATCTTGATGCATCACGTATAAAGTATAGTATTTAGGTCAAGTAGCATCAGAGGATAGCAATAACTGGAATAAACAAAATGTTAATCTACTAGTCATTGTCAGTACATGCCAACAATTCAGAGCCCATCATTAGGAAGTATTAAGGTGATACGGCAAAACTTCAAGCTCTCGATGCTCCACTACCCAACGAACATGCACCAGGCAGTACTTCAGACATTGTAAATAGATTTGATGCCCAGCCTCTTACACGAGAATGTGGAACCTAGAGAAAATACTAACTGAACCACTTGAAGACATTAGGAGGCAAACAGTCAAATGTGCTATATTATTCGTTATATTATAATCTGTTATTCAACACAAATTAAGCACTTTCCTACTTGTTTTCTAAACTATACCTTGAGAACAACAGCATATTCATTGAGCTTGCGTGTCACTGGATAGGACATACGACTTGACACTTTCTGTAATTCAGATACCATCGTGTCCAAGAGATTTCGAGCAAGACTTTCATTAGCAGGGTTTATATGAATGGAATTCCTTAAAAAGACAGGAGACAAGTTGAAACATTTTATTTGGAAAACAAAAAAGCTGCCAAGTAAATGCAAGACATCAACATTGCTGATAAACATCCTGTACTAATGCCTCATGTTAAAATGCACGCAAACAGAGGTGTAAGTTGCACAAGTCAGCCAGCCAAAAAACGGATTTGATGCAGAATAGCAATCAGTTCCAGAGGAATGCAAATAAAATACAAGGTAGTGTGCACACATTCTGGACAGAATCTCAGCTCCTGCAGCAAACCAAAGTGTCATGAAACTTGTTCTCCTTGTTGGTAAACAAGGAGCACAGCTTAAAAACCTTGGACAGGTTATAATGGCAATGGAATGCTGCCAGGTTGTAATTATATTTACTGTTGTCAGTCGTCTGTTAGCAAGGATGGTCTTTATTACAGGCACAGCCTTATTCAACTGCCGTTTCACCCCTGACCACAGACATTTCCTGTTGCTGTTCTCTTTCAGAGTTTTAAAAGATACATCAACCAACACTTAGAGTGTTTGTGTTGGTGTTAACTCCCAACAGCAGTAGTGGGAATAATAATAATGCATCTATTTGAAACCTGTGAAATTGTTACTCGATTAATAGTCTTCTGAAGTAGTTTTGTTTGCTTAGAAACCGAACAGGAGAGCAATCTTGAAGGGTATTACTCCATTGACTGACCATGGCTGCTGTTCTATCCATTCAGCAAGGTAGTGCCGGACCTCAATGGGGAATCGCTGTGCATACAACGCCTGGAACTGAGGAAGGAACTGTTGCAATTTCACTATCTCACTCCAGAAAGCCATCCTTTGCCTTTAAGTACCTGAAAGAATAAAAAGATCATATTCTAAGAATATGTTTTAAAAGCTATCCACTTCAGAACAAATCAATCTATACATAACTCAAACACTTGCATTAAGTAATTACTGAACTTTGCAATCTTAATACAGGTTCAGAACTTGGGCTATTACGGGACTTGATCAATGTGGCAATGATTTTGTTCAGCAAGTAGTTAAGCCACAGGAGATTGGCTTCTAGCCTGTGCTGAATGAGCTTAAATTAGTTAGGACTGTTCCAACTCCTCGATGTACCCTTAGGTTAAAAGGAAGAGAAAAAAATAATTAGCTTGAGCTCCAAATTTTAAAAAGGTAAATCAACTGATTGTTGGAGGCATTGACAAGGGGGATGCAACAGGAACAGATGTCCTCCAAACTTTTATTGTAATTAAAAAGGCTCAAAGCCTGGTCATGTTCTGTTTACAGATGACAGAGCTCTATGTATTAATAAGTGCTTGCTAGAAGCTACACAAAGGAAACTACATAATGAGCTTAACTGGTAATCTGAAATTGTTTGTTAGAGTAATTATTGGCACACTCGGGGTTCAGCAAGTATTGTCCAAAGTATCCAACATTAGGATCACGTCTATGTTTTCAGTATTGCAAACATGGCTGTTTGAATACAAGCAAACGTCTCTCTAGCTTGAGCTATTATTCAACATGATTATGGCTGATCCAATTGTGTCCTCAACTCTGATATAATCCTCAATTTGTATCCATCTTTTGTAAAAGACAGACCCCACGTTCCATTCGAGTCCATTCACAAGTCAATTTGTACACAAGTCGGAACACAATACAGGACAGTGGAAAGCAGCTGTATCCAAATACAGGAAATGCTCATATGTTGGGTCTTCAAAAGTACAAGACCACATTCATAAGTGCAAGTGTTCAAAGTTGGACTTTTATTAATGAGGGGGCCCATGCACTAGGAAAATCAACAATCTATGGCTGGTAACATTTATGGAACCTTTTGTTCTGAGAGTTGATGCATAGCAATATTCAATTTTGCCCATCAGTAGAAGAGGGCTATATTGCTAGGTTTTTAATAAATCACTCAGGCTAGTTCAGGGGTCACTGAAGAGCAATTCAGGAGGTTACAGGCAACAAGTGGGAGAAGGAGAAAGAGACAAATGTAGACTCCATGTTAGAAGTGTATAATTAGCTGTACTACTGGGAAGACAACTGAACTACACAGATCCTGTGTAGGGAATTCTAGGGAATCAAGAGCAGTTGGATGGCTCTGTGCTGTCTGATCTCAGGAAGAGATCTATAGCAAGGCATTCCTCCTTCCAATTTCAACTCCCTCTTGCAAAGAAGCAACAAACCACTGCCTTTCTAATCACTTTGCAAAAGGAAAAGTAGCAAGGTGCACAAATTATGCATATTTACCTGGCTTGTATACCTCAAAAATGGAGCTCCAGCACACCCAACACATTCAATTCTAAGTATTATTGATTTTTTTTCCTTCTGGGTTGCTGTACTTGCTTATTAACCTTTGTGATCCACATACCAGGACATGTAGATCCCTACATGCTGCAGAGTTGTGAAATCTCTCTCAATTTAAATATGCTGTTTTTCCTATGCTTCCTGCCAAAATTGAAGAGTTCATGTTTTCCCACATTACACTCCATCTGCCAAATTTCCAGACAATTATTCAACCTATCTATATTCTTTTGTGAAGAGGGCATGAGGGAGCTACAATTTACTGTCATATGACCTACCTGTCATCAGTAGACTTAGCAACCATATACTTGGTCCATTAATCAAAGTCATTGATAATAGATTGTACCTTTCTTCAGTAGTTGAGGCCCCATCATGGATTCTTGTGGTATACACCATTCATCTCACCATGCCAAACTACAAATGCGTCATTTATGCCTTTTCTCTCTTTCCTGTTAGGTAATCCATCTTCCATCCATACCAATGAAGTCACAGCCGTCCAGCATGGAAACAGACCCTTCAGTCCAACTCATCCATGCCGACCAGATATCCTAAATTAATCTAGTCCCATTTGCCAGCATTTGGCTTATATCCCTCTAAACCCTTCCTATTCATATAACCATCTAAATGCCTTTTAAATGTTGTAATTGTACCAGCCTCCACTGGCAGCTCATTCCATACACACACCACCCTCTGCATGAAAAAGTGGTCCTTTTAAAATCTTTCCTCCCTTACTTTAAACCTACGCCCTCTAGTTTTGCACTGCCCCACAGTGGGGAAAAGACCTTGACTATTCATCCTATCCTTGCCCCTCACAATTTTAAGCTTCTATAACGTCACTCCTCAGCCTCGGACACTCCAGAGAAAAAAGCCCCAGCCTGTTCAGCCTCTCTCTATAGCTTAAACTCTCCAACCTTGGCAATATCCTTGCAAGTCTTTTCTGAACCCTTTCAAGTTTCACAACATCCTTCCAAGGGAGACCAGAAATGAATGCAGTATTCCAAAAGTGGCCTAACCAATGTCCTACGTTACACGCTACACCATGACTTTTTATTTCGTTTAGTAACCTTTGATGTGGCATCTTTTCAAATGCCTTCCGCAAATCTAAATACACCATTTTGATAGGTTTTTCCCCTTAACTCCATTGCATTGTCAAGTTTTCTTTCACAAAGCCAAATTGATTCTGTCTGATAGTAAGCTATGCTGCATTGACATTTTCTATAACCTCATTAATGGATTTCAGCATGCTGCCTGTGAGCGATGTTAAACTAACTGGCCTGTAGTTTCCCATTTTTGGTTTTTATTCTTTCTTGAAGAAAGTTCTCAGTTACATTAGTTAACTACTAATCTGATGATACTTTTCCAGAACCTAGGGAATTTTGGGAGATGACAATCTCTATTATTCAGCAGTCAATCCCTTTTAAAGGCCCTAGGATGAAGTCCATCAGCACCTGGTGACTTGTCAACATTTAGTTTGAATATTTTTCTCAATACCATTTCTCTGGTGGTTATAATTGTTTATAGCTCTGTCCTCCCCTTCATCTCTTTATTCACAATTAATCAGGGAGATTATTTCTAACCTCTACAATGAAGACAGGCAATATCTGTTCAGTTAATCTGCTACTTCCTCATTTACTATTATTTACTCCCCAAACCTTCCTTATTCTTCCTTTTTAAATATCTTAGAAGCTCTTAGGATCCACTTTTAGATTTCTGGTCTGCTTTCACTCATACTATCAAACCTTTATTATTGTTTGATTTAAAATAAAAGTCAATCCCCTGACCTGCTACTAGTCTTTGCTGAATTGTATGCTTTTCTTTCAATTTGATATTACTTTCAACTTACTTAGTTACCCATAAAGTGTCTTTCCCCTAGAGTCTTTCATTTACACTAGAATGATTTCTTAGTTCACAACACTCAACATCTCCTTGAATGACTGCCACTGTATCTCTACAGACCTACCCCTTAGCCTAAATTTTCCAGCTCGTTATGGCAGCTTCTGTTTTCATACTATTCATCATTATTTAAGTTTTTCAACGGGACCTCAATCAGATGGGCAGGTAGGCAGGGGAGTGGCAGATAGAGTTTAAATTTAGAAAAAAAACAGAGGTGCTGCATTTTGGAAAGACAAAATCAGGGCAGGATTTATTACACACTTAATGGTAAGGTCCTGGGGAGTGCTGCTGAACAAAGAGACCTTGGGGTGTAGGTTCATAGTTCCTTGAAAGTGGAGTCGCTCGTAAACAGGATAGCAAAGGAGGCATTTGGTATGCTTGCTTTTATTGGTCAGTACATTGAGTTAGGAGGTGATGTTGCGGCTGTACAGGACATTGGTTAGGTGACTTTTGGAATACTGCATGCAATTCTGGTCTCCCTGCTATAGGAAAGATGTTGTGAAACTTGAAAGGGTTCAGAAAACATTTACAAGGATGTTGCCACGGTTGGAGGGTTTGAGCCATAGGAAGAGGCTGAATAGGCTGGGGCTTTTTCCCTGGACCATTGGAGGCTGAGGGGTGACCTTCTAGAAATTTATAAAATCATGAGGGACACAGATAGGGTGTATAGACAAGGGCTTTTCCCCAGGGTAGCGGAGTCCAAAACTAGAGGGGCATAAGTTTGCAGTGAGAGGAGAACAATTTAAAAGGGACTTTAGGGGTGACTTTTTCCACACAGAGGGTGGTGTGTGCGCAGAATGAGCTGCCAGAGGAAGTGGTGGAGGCTGGTACAATTACAACATTTAAAAAGGCATTTGGATGGGTACACGAATAGGAAGGGTTTAATTAACGGTAGCCACATCTCTAATGCCAGAGTGAACATATTTATTTCTAGTTGAGCTGTTAAATTGATTTTGTTACAAAGCTCCACATATTTGTGGGTGTTCCCATTTTATTATTTTTGTAGCATTTAGCCACAACTCCTGGTACACTCTCCAGTATGGATGATCTGTCCAATCCAGTTATATTCAGATCATCATTTCCCTTAATGTTGCTTTACTTCCTTGTCTTCTCTCTTTAAATCACATCTTCCCTTGTTTGATCTCTCGCTCCCATTAATTTAGCTCCCAACATAATACAGGTGAGGTTATACTGCATCAGCTGCAGTGGTAGCATTTGAATCCCGGTCCGCAGAGAAATAGCCTGGGCGTCTGGATTACTAATCCATTGGCATTGCTACTACACTAGTGCCGCTAGACAAAAAGACCATATGGAATACGAATAGGCTGTTTAACCCTTCAATTCTGCTCTGCCATTCAATAAAATCATGGCTGGTTTGACATTCCTGCCCTTTTCCCCATAATCCTTGATTCCCAAACTGATCAAGAATCTATCTCAGCCTTAAATATACTTAATCTTTTACTTTTAATTTCAGTTTTCATGCCTTGTACAACCAAGTACATCTTCATTTTTATGTTCAATTTCTCCTGCATTAAAAGGATAGTATTCTATACGCCTTAATTACTTGCTGTACTTGTGTACTAACTTGTGATTCATGCACTGAACACCCAGATCTTCTTGCATTTTGAAATTGTCAGTCATTCTCTGCTTAAGCAATACAT